TATTCTTCGATTTACACGGCTGTTTTTTTCTCTCCGCAGTCTTTTAACAGTGGAGAAAGTCTATCAAACCTTAGAAAAATTATTGCAGCTGGGTAGCAAATATCAAGGTAAATTTTAGAAAACATGTAACAGCATCAATTGTGGCATCTAGGGCATTATTTCCAAATTTTTCCATTCTGTATTGTGTAACATGCGTCTGAGTTTATATATGTTGTCATATGTAAAGCCCTTGTATATAGTCTTCTTAGATTGGTATGTAAAAAGTATTTTTCTGCAGTTTGCCACATATTTTCGGCAGAACACTTATAGTGCTGTGATCTGAGCTCAGAAGTGGTGCACGTTTCCGAGTTTCATGCATACCGAAATTCATTCCCGAAGACCAAGTCTAATGTGCCATCAAAGCGAGTTGAAAAACTGACTAGGTTACTTTGAACAAGAAAAAACAGTGTAAATCACAGAAGACAATGGATAATAAACCCGACATTATGGGAGCAGCAAGTTCGGCGAATTTGTCAACAAATTTGAATAGTTCACAATAGCTGCAACCAGGAGTCATGTAAACATCGGTGATGTAAATAAGTTCAAGTTTATCTAAATGTTTGAGATAACACTTTACAACGATACAGTCTATATTGCCATTATAATAGGTGAAACATGCCTAATTTGATGAACACCACTGTGTTGATAAAGGTAGATACACCTCGACTAAGCTTTTTCACAGAACTGCACCGATCCTGGTGAAACATTTTGAAACCATTTAAAGAGACTAAATTGTCATCACATAAGTTGTGTAATTAAGTTTCTTATAATGTTATTACACCAGCACCACTATAAACATTAAAATATAAGAGGCATTGTAAACAGACTGTCTTTTATTATTTATATTTGTCAAATTCATGGGCGTGGGTTGACTACTTCTTAATAGTTCGCGTGAGTATTTGACATGATTTAAGGTCATATTTAGAAAAACAGAAACAGCAAACTTGATGCAGTATACAGGATAGAAGGCTTTGGCAGCCTAAGGTTTAAGTAGACCGCCAATATTTGAAGAAAAGTATCCAGTAGAGAATAATGAGATTACCAGTAGCACATCGCCAGTCATCGATAAAACGAAGTGGGTTTTCAAACTTTCAACTAGGGTTTCAAGCTCAACAGAAGTAAAGGTGTTGGAGAAGGGACTCAACTTCAATGTAGCAGTCAACGAATTGAAACCTGAAGATATCACTCCTAAAATTGAAACATCAATAAGTTCAGTAGACAAGACAATAGCAGATGAGGTGCGAGTACAACATGCTCTAACACTCAGGCGACAGAATAAAACGAAACAGAATTTACCAAAAGTAGAAAGAGAAGCTTTGAAGAACCTTCGGAATGACAACAATATAGTAACTGCTAAATCTCATAAAGGCAACTCAACAGTAGTGTTAAACAAATCTGATTACTTTCAGAAAGTCAAGGAGCATATGGAAACATGACCGCACGAGGAAATTAAGAAACTAATGGACATCATTATGAATAAGGTTCGAAGAATCACGATGGATCTAATGCGCCGAATAAAGCCATTTCTTGGTGAGTCAAAATGGTCTAGTTTAGTGCCGAAAACTAATAGTTCCAGTAACACTTATAACTCTATTAAAATTCATAAGCCAGGTTATCTATCTTATTAGACACATAGTAGACTTTAGAAACACTCCTACTTATGATTTATCGAAATATTTAGCGATGGTACTAGGTCCAATTAGAAACCGTTCTAAATCGAGACTTAATAACTTTTATGACTTGAAGCATACATTTAGATGACAGTAGAAAAATGGCTAGTTTTGATGTAGCTAGTTGCTATGGCTCTGGAAGTAGTCACAAATGAGCTCAACAATGACCATGAGCTTACACTATGAACTAAGGTACCAGCACATGAGATCATGTTACTAGTACATCTATGCTGAACTTCCACAATCTTTAACTTTCAGAACAAAATATACAAGCAAACAGGAGTTGGCATGGGACCCCTTATCTTGGTAGACGTATCTATATAGTTTGGAACGAATAGTTGTCAAAACATTCAGTCCTACTCCAGAAGTATGGTTTCGATACACAGATGGCACGTTTGCAGTGTTGAAATCCGAGCATATTTGCAGTTTCTCTACATATTTAAATTCAGTAGTCAATGCAATCTAATTCACCTATGAATTAGAAAATAGTGAAGGGATATAGTGATTTTGGATTGTAGAATGGAACGAAAACATAATGGGAGTTTAGACACTAGCGTCTACAAAAACCTTCACATTCAAATCATCACTTAGATTTCAAATCGTCTTACACTACGTCAGTTAAAGTTGGCTTGGCAAAATGTCTAAGTAACAGGGCCAGAAAACTTACTAAGAGAGATGACAGATGACTAAAAGACGAGAGACATTAGAGGACACCTTACCCAACAACGATTACCCTCCTAAATTAATTGATAAGTTCCTTAGGAATCGTAAGAGAAATATGATTAATATTAGTAACACATGTGTTAATAGTTGTGATAATGATGTTAATAATAATAGTCACAATACTGTGAAGAAGGAATTGAAAACACACAAAAAAATTACCTCAAACACATTGAGTAGGATTATCAATAAGACTGGCTGGAATGAGAGTGACATTTGAATCTACAAGCTTATTCAAAAATAAGCTTTGTAGGTTAAGAGATTCTGTTGATCCAATTAGGCAGAATAATTTAGTTTGCCAGATCGCCAGCAAAACTTTTGAGGTTCAATACATAGATTAAAGTAGTCCACTAGAGTCAATTAGGCTATCCAAGCACAAAAAACATAGCTAATTCGAAACTGGTATATCCTAGTAAGATAAGGAATCTAGGAAAATCTCGGCCATAGCTATGCATGAAATTACACACACCCCCACAATAAGACGAGATAGGGTGAAAATCCTTAAAACTAACATAGCGGAGTGGAGGGAGAGATTAATAACTGAATCTATGTTTGTCGAATCAACACTTGATATATGCAACGGAAATAACTCAGCACCTGTTCTGGATATATGGAAAATCCTACTACATATCGGAAAGGTGACGAAATAAGGACCTTACAAAAGGTCTCGAGGTTATGCAGTTATCTTGATATGACTATAGACAATAAATTGTTTCCAGAACGTAATTCAATAAGTAATATTGTTCTACTGTGCGGTATATCTAATAAGTCAACCAAAATGGAATTACATTCCACCAGTACCCATGTGTAGCCTTAAGAATGTTACAGCCTACGGTGAGCCATTAGATGGGTTCTTTACGTCGCGTGATATCCATGAGAGATGCACAATCTCTTCGTCTTTATTTAAATTTTTGTACATGTGCTTATGGAAGCCTCTGTTATAAAGTGATGATTGAAGCGTTGAATAAAGATTCTACTAGAGACATCTGAGAAAATGATATGATATGACTCGGTATGATCCAATGATATGTGCTCACGAGAACGTAGTTTTCAATTAACTGGTTGGACTCGATGTAAGACCATCACCAGGACCCAAAATCAGTAAGAATCAAGAGGACCAATAAATTCGTCGCATATTTCGTTGCATCATTTAGTCACACAAAACGTCTGCTTACATACAACCAATGAAACTCAAAACAAGATGAAAATAAATCATCCAAGTAAAAGTATAAAATCCGTCAAGAGAGACAACGAAAGTTATAAGACACTCAGTAACATCTTAGCAATGCATGCAAGGCTGAATTAATGACCACTAAATTATTCTCCTCGACGTCTATCGACTGTACACAGATCAACCCTACCAAAAGAGACTCGTTATTCAACTTACGGTCTACAGATGATATAGCTCTATCATATGAAGACACTGAAAAGATTCAATGTTCTGAACATTGAGTAACAAATGGGGAATTTTCATGATTCATTTTGCACCTCCCAAGTGGAAACGTTTGCTTCAGGAATGATCTGCTTAAATACCTCGTCACTTATGAAAAAACCAGCTCTGATTGATGGTCGGTAAAATTTCGGCATAACTACGAAAGGCTCATTTGGCTTTTTCTATCATTTTACACCAACCATGGCACCGTAAACATAACCAATCGCCTACTAATGACCAAATTTACCGTACAGCAGCTTGTTATGTCCTATTATATGGCTATGAAATGTGGGTACTAAACGTTGAGGACACAAGAACACTCGATCACCATCACATTCTTAGCACCACTCGTTTTTCCTGGAATCATCAAGTAATGCAGACGTTAAGTGTAGAGTCTTAAGTGAAAGGACAGTCAGTTGATGAGGTTGTAAACTTCCATCGACTCAGATGGCTAGACATGTGTTACACGTGTCTAATAACCACTTGGCCGGAAAAGCGAAGTTAGCTGAAGTAGGACTGTGTTGGAAAAGCTAAGAGTAAATAAACTAAAACATGGTACCAGTTGAAGAATTGAACTGTTGGTCTGGGCCATACCATTAAGTGTAGTCTTTCAGGTTATAATCGATGAGAGAACCGAAACCCATGGTTGGAGACTGTTTGTGATATGACTCAGAATAGATCTGTGGTGCATACGCAGCCTATTTGCATTCTAACTGTTACATAACACTTCAGCTGCTTGACTGTCTTTTATTCTTCTCATAACTTTGTATAACTTTGGGTTTCACTATTCCTACTTCCAAGTCTCTTGTCCTGTTGCTTTGTCTCGGCAACTTGAAAAGTCGCACAGTAATGCCGGGTCTCAAATTAACATTGACTGAAGAATTCATTTTTTGGATCTGAAATCACTCTGTAGTATTTTGATTTTGAAACCAGCTGCTCTCTCCAAAAACACTTTTATGATATCTTAGGATCTGAAAGAACAAGAGCTCTAGCAGACAGAGTTTGAACGTTTCGTTATGACGGGTAAAATTGATCATTACATCAAATAAACAGCTGTAGTTGGAGTTTCAGTCTCAAAAACAATGAGAAAATTAGTAAAAAAACGAAAATGAAACCATTGTAATAAGTGTTGAACCTACCCGACGATGAACCAAGTTAAATTCAGTAGCACCGCACACCATGCAATGTGATGCTTCAGAATCTGGGATCCAAATTGGGGACTTTTTGACTGAATCAGAGTGCATAGCTTCATAGAAAGAAAATATATGAGTAGTAAACTAAAGAACGTAAGGTATATTACCGCATCACATCATCCTGTTGCAAAAGTATCGACTGCTAAGTATTAACTGAGGAAATTTTAACTGCAAACTTAACGAAAAATGTTCAACCGAGCATCCAAAGGGGACCTCACATTACTGCGTAATGGCCCGAGTTGCCGCACTGCGTATCAGCACATAAAGGCAATAGGCAAAACGATAAAAGACAGAGGAAATCAAAAGTAGTAAAAGGCTGTGAAAAGGGAAGAAGATTAATGAAATAATAATAAACTTGGATGTGACGATTGGGCCGAAAATAACACGTGAATACATCTGCTCTGATGAAATTTACTGTGAGTCACATAACCTGTCTACAACCACCGAATTCAGTTGTCATACGGACATCACAGCTCAGACCGATAGCCAAAGACCTCAAGCAATAAAGCCACGTTTTAGTCTGGTCGCTTCTATCCATTTCCTAGACAGAGACAACTTCAATTAACAATGCGCAAAGAGACAGGAGGTGACTACGCATGCGAAGATACGTCTTTGCCATCTTAGCTGACTAAGGTTCGCAGCATTGTCAACTCACTTTCTTCTTTTCCGCAAAGCTCTAAACACCTGACTTCTGGGTTACTGACGTGGTGACACCACGACACAAGGTCTGTGCTACGAAGGCAACGGCGGTCGAATACCTGAAGCCTTCTCATGTCCTCTACCTTAAAAGGACATTTTAACAGCCGTACAGTGGAAGGGAGAGAACTGCACCACACAAAACTCGGCACCTAACAAACAATCGAACATCAAGGCAAAGCCACAGACGGCGTAAATTGGTGAAGGTTAGTTGAGTCTTTTGTAGTCATGCAGATTCTTTATGGAAAATCCAACTTTCCAGATAGTTAGTGGTTAACGTGCACAACCACTTCGCTCTCCATTGTTAGACGAACTGCCAATGCAGACCAGTTCAATAGTAAGAATTTTCCTCCAGGTGGTGAAAGAAGTAGTGTTTCATCGAATGCTACTAACCAGTAGAAAACAAGTGCACATATAAATCTATATGTAGCCTAACAGCTAAGTGAACTTGTGTCTGATTAAACGTTCATGTTCTCAATTGAACATAAATCCAGACAAAGTGTTTTCCAATTATTCATTGAGCATTGATGACCTTATATTCAACAACAGATAGACGAAATTAACGTAGAACCCCGCATACAGTTCCATCGCTTCAAGTTGCCACACACTTTACAGTAGCATACAAAGAACAGGTGGATAGAAAAAAGCTGATACTAAAGTAGATGAAGTCGTATGAGAGAATAAGCAATCTGAAGATAAAGGTTGGTGCCAATATTCAAGTTTTATAAGATGTCAAGGAGTGAATACATCCGCGTCATTGTGACCGATTTCCAGCCATGTCACCAACAGTCTTCAACCAATGATTGCTTTCGTCTTGAAGATCCCAACCACATAGTCTACATCTCACACGACTCAGACTAACATTCAGAAACTTCATCGATTACTGTCACATCTTCGTCTGGCCATCCTGAACTCTATTCCAACCAACTCAAATTTCGTCTAGCATGGCACGTCGTGGCACACAGTGGGGAAAACTGACACAGGCTTTAGATCACTTGTCCGATTCAGAACATGAAACCTTTCGCAAAACGAATAGTAATGCACCTGCCACACAAAAATTAACTGATACTGGATGAAAACACCAAAAGGTGTTGAACTCAGAAAAAGACGAAAGAGTTACGAAAATCCCCAACGCTCTCACTTGTTTTGCGGTACAAAGAAGACAACAGAGCCACAAATTAAGACGATAAGATTGGAGGATACGATCGAAGATTTGAAAATTCTACATAATACTTTATCTATCAGCAGCTATCCAATTAAGTTCATTAAGCACATGATTAAAAAACGTAGAAAATAGGTGTATCTAAATTGTGAACAACAAACGGCTTCGCGGGAGAGTACAACTTGGAAGCGAAGTGCCTATAGCAATACTCATTATGAAGTTACGAAAATCTACCCAATGAAGCTAATGTTTTGAACATACTCAGCGGTGCTATCGAGACTGAAAGATCAAGTCCCTAGGATGGCTATTTTTCGTGTTTGTCAGTCCAACTGCTCCTCTGGAGCCAGTTATATCAGCCAATGCTCCGGAGATTTAGTTTTCCATACTGCGGAACAATTCGTACTATGACTAAGTAAATGTTAATAACCCAACACTACTTAACTTAGTTCAAAGATACCAAAAAGCTAATAGTAGTAAATCATTCCCTTGCATTTAACGCGCTCCCGCTAAATCACCAAAAGCTACCAAATGCCGAGTACTCTAAGTAGCAGTCATTCAGCTCAATCACTCTGAGTTGTGTACAAAAGAAACATATGCAGACATTGCTACCCTGGCCAGATTTGGGATCAATAAATTAAGTTCCTTGTCGAACTAGCTGTTTGGATTGCTAATTTCAAAATCAATTTATCATGCATACATACACCAAATAAACACATTAAGCTTCATGCACGCACACCTACAAAGTTCAACCAAACCCTATTTAGCTTGTGTACTGTGTGCAGAAAACCATGTAAGAAATAGTCTTATCAATCAACTTTGTAATATCGAACAATTGTCACGACGCTGAAGTTATTAAGCATCTTAACAATCCTGTTATTCACTATTTCAAATTGTTAACCAGTACCATTGTTAATATATATTTAGTAAAATGTTGCGCAACGAGTGAACTCATCCGATGTTACATGCTGAGAATTCTGCATTGCAAACGAAATTATGGTCATTACTTACACTAGGTGTCCAAATTTTCATTTCACCCTCAAACACTATCCAGTACAAATACTAGTCCACCAAACTACGACTATCTCATATAGTCAAACGACAAGCATATTACTATCATATGTAAAGTGAATCTTGACACAACGATTAAATTTCAGGTTAAGATAGTTTTTATGGTAATTTTCTTGGTCGTTTGACATATTGCCAAAACCAAAAAGCCTGATGACTGTGTGTAAACACTCACTTTAAATGTATTTAAAGCAAATTGATTCGCTCCATAATCTATAAAATCTTTGTCAACTTAATTCGTGAATACTTGCTACTTATTCCTCTACCTCTTTTTTGTAATCTTAAATTTTATCAGATTCCATCATTTTGTCTCCATACGTTTGTACAACATAACCTATTGTTTTACACTCTGTGGCATCCTGTAATGTGGCTAACGCTAGGAACGCCATGGACTACTAGTAATTTCAAAATAAATGTTTAACTCACCTGAAGGAATAGAATCTGAAATGCATTTCCTTAAATGAACTATCCACTGTGCTTTCTCTTCAGATGTGCTTGCGTAGACAGTAAAAGATTTCCTAGGACTAAGAATTGAAAACCCGTTCCGGTATACTGAGACGTTTATCGTAGGCTTAACTTACTCCCATTGTCGAGGACATTCTTTACAGAGACATCAGCAAGATCAATAAATTGAGGATTACGAAGCTATATATTGAAGATTTAGCTTGAGATCAAAGACTTACAACTTTTCTGTTAACTACGATCCTACCATAGATCAAGACGTCATTAAAAAGAAAAAAGTGTCTGAGTTTGGGTTTTCTTCTGCAAATCTTTGTCAGTACACCCTCCCCGACTAAGACACGATTTGCTACCACTAGTTTCTAGAAATTAGTTTGTACATTCGAACGAAATCTACATTAGATGAAAATCCGAAAAGTCTTTCAACCTCGCTGATTCGCTCCAAGTTTTGTCTTGCGTCATCTTGTGAGCAAAAAAACACATTGAACGACACAACAAACCTACAAAACCCGTCATTCCGCATCTAGGTTGATAATTTGCTCGATTTTCGTCCTTAAAAACTGCTTGAATAAAACAAAAGCCTAAGGAGCAGCACAGTTATAAGGGTAGTAGACAAGTTGGCCTGAGTTAACCCTTTCAAAAGATATCTCTGTGAAGATCTGCTTTCTTCTTCACCGTGATGACAGAAGGTGCTGATACCACCAGCTGAGGCAAGGAGTTCCAATATCCAATATTGATAGTGCGAGCGTAGAAAACTGGTAGTTTTTGATCTCTCGCGTCTAGTTCTTAGGGCTTGGTTCGAGTTGTTCGGTTTACTCCTGCAGTGGACGAGGAAATCCCCTCTGCTTTCTTGCTTTTAGCTTCGGTGAGGTGGATGTTTTGTGGGTTAGTAGGTTGTAATTTGTAGAGTGATTAGGGAGCTACGGGTTGCTGGGAAGTTTAGAGAACTGCCGTGACTCCTGTCTGTGTAGGTACCTGAAAGAGAATAGTAAGGTAGTGGTAAAGGAATGAAGAGAGAAATAAGGAAGAGAAAAAATAATAATAATAATGTAGGGAAGAGAAAAGGGAAGGAGAAGAAAAGGAGGGGTGAAAAGAGAAATGAGAACGAAAGAAAAGTATTTGGGAATTGCCCGAATGGTCGCGTGGGTTTGGTTCCTACAGAAGAATTAGTAGGTAATGTGGGTGTATTAAGGAGAGAGATAGTGAGTGGTAGTTAGGAGGGAGTTGGGGGTACTGAGGTTGGTGACTACCTGAGTACGTCCGTGGTAGTCCATGCGAGGTGACATAACTGTCTAATCGCCTCTTGAAAGAGTCGATTGAAGGAGCTATAACGATGTGTCGCGGTAAGGCATTCCATAAAGCACATACTCTTAGGGAGAAAAATTTGGACCTGAGTGTGGTGTTGGCTCTCTGGTGTGCTATCTTAATGGGGTTTCCTCGTGAAGATCGTTCAGTTGCAGGCAAAATTGATTTGTTTGCATGGTCTGCCTGATGGGCGATCTTGTATGCCATAATGAGGTCACCCCTTTTCCTGCGATAACCCAAGGTAAATAGGTTGAGGTGTTTAAGTCTTTCAGGATACGTCTTTCCCCTTAGCCCCACAACACATTTTGTTGCAGTTCTTTGTATTCTTTCAAGGAGATTAGAGTCTCTCTTGAGTGTTGGAGGAGCCACCGTATTGAAGACCTCTAGGTGCGGCCGCACGTAGGATTTGAAAATGGTGAGGAAGAGTTCGGGAGTGAGGGCGCCAAGCTGTCTACGCAGAAAGTGTAGAATGGCGTTCGCTCTGGTTGTCATACCTTTGTAGTTGGAGCTGGTGTCCAAGGTGTCGGAGAAGTTGAGCCCCAAATCTTTCTCCATGGACACTCTGGTGATAGCACGGTTGCTCAACATGTACTGGAAGTCGGTCGTACTTGCCTCATTTTTACTGATGTGCATTACTTTGCACTTTTCCAGTTGAAGCTCAGGCCATTTTCCGACGACCAGAGCTCGAGTTGCTGCAAGTCCTTTTGTAGTGCTGCACAGTCGGCTTCTTCGTTTACCACCCTCCAAATTTTTATGTCGTCAGCGAAGAGGAGGATGGGTGAGGATATTTTGTCTGGCAGATCGTTGACAAACAGGAGGAACAGAAGCGGTCCTAGGATTGCTCCTTGGGATACTCCTGACGTCGACGGTCTCCACTCCGACCTTATTCTGTTCACTTTAGTGCAGAACTGCCTCCCTTCCAGGTACTCCTTGAACCAAGAGAGTAGGGGTCCACTTATACCAGCTGACATGATCTTGTGAAGCAGTACTGTGGGTGGGACACTGTCAAATGCTTTGGCTAGGTCGAGAAATACAACATGTACAGGTTTTCTATTATCCCAGCTTTGTGTCCAGTCGTCCCAGGCGGTTAGTAAGTTGGTGGCACATGAGCGACCACTACGAAAGCCGTGCTGAGCAGTGTGGACAGTGTTTTCCTATTGAGGAATTCCCAGATGGTGTCAGCTACCAGGCTTTCCAACACTTTCGACACAATAGGGAGTAGGGCAATCGGCCTGTAGCTGCCAGGGCTTTTTCTGTCTCCTCCCTTGAAGATGGGTGACAAGATGGCGCTCTTCCATTCTTTAGGGAGTTTGCACGAGTCTATTGAGTGCTCAAAGAGGTTGCGAAGTGGTTTGGTAAGCACCTCGGCGCAGTTTTTCAGAACCACTGGTTTCAGGTTATCGCAGCCAGGGGACTTGCCCGGACGTAGCCTAGATAGCTTCTCGAACACCTTTTTCTCTGTAATAGAGACGTGACAGAGGTATTCGTTATTTGCGACCTGGTCGGTGTCGTGGCGAGTCGGTGTGGATCTTGTGTCAGTGCTGAGTTGGGCTTGGAAGTGTGAGCTCAAAAGCTCGGCAATCTCTAGACTGCTTAGCACACTCCCGTCATGGCCTGTGACAAGATTCACTCCCTTACTGGTCGACTTTCTTCTTGACATGAAGCGGTACAGGTTTTTGGGGTTGCTTTGTAACCTCGCTGCCAAGTTTGTTTGGTAGGAAAATCTGTCGTTACGCACTCTAATGTTACAGAGATTGCGAATCCTTTTGTAGTTCAAGAAGTCAGACTCCCTGCGTGATGTAAGCCACTTGAACCAAGCCTGCTTCTTGCTCCGGATAAGCCTCTCTGTCCCACGCTTTAACCATGAGGTTCTCATTGATTGTCTGTGTGTTACTTCTGGTACACTGTGACTGATGGCCCCAGTGATTATTTTCTTCACCTCCAACCAGTGTTCATCTATTGTGAGATGAGTCCAGTCCACTGGCCATGATGCATTCATGAGGTAGTCCCTCATGGTCTCATAGTTGGCCTTGCTGTAGCAAGGGAAGGTGTTGGGCGTCTCCAGTTGCAGAGCCTCCCTAGTTATCATGGAGAAGGTGATTACAGCGTGGTCACTGAGGCCAAGGGGAGGTTGGATGCAAACATCCTCAATGAGAAGTTCATCGTTCGTCAGAACGTAGTCAAGGCGCGATGCGTTTCCGTTAGGTCCCCAGCGTGTAGCATCACCCACTTTCTCTGAGAGGCCAGCAGTCTTAATTGCATCCTTCAGCTTCTGATTGAAGGATCTGATGCGTCTCCCTTCCGTCTCGAAGAGGATGGACGGGGTGTTGAAGTCGCCGGCAATGACTACGGAATCGTAATTTGCAGAGGAAGTCGTTAAGATAGCCTTGATGATCATTTCCTTATGTGTAGGGGAGCTGGTGGGGGACCGATATATGACTCCGAGCAGGTATTTGGTACTGTGGAGAGTGAAGTAGCACCATAGGGACTCTGGGAGCTGGGTTAAGGCCGTATCGCTAACCATCCTTGCCTTTAAACAAGAGTTTACGTAGATAGCCACTCCTCCTCCTGCTCTATGTTCCCTGTCCCTGCGGAAGAGTTCCATGCCAGTAACATGCATCTCTTCGTCGGAGATGTCTGGCGAGAGCCAGGATTCGGTGATGAATATGATGTCGGAGTGCTGATGTGCACGCAGCGTCCTCATTTCTGCTACCTTCCCTCTTAGCCCCCTAACGTTGCTGTACATACATATTAGAGTGTGCCTGGTGAGGGGGAGGTCTGGTTGTGTATTTTCGCAGGATGAGAGCTTATGTGGTTGGGTCTACCCTCGCCAGTCCTCATAGGACTGGCATTGTTCCGTTTTTTGGTGTTTTGTTATTAACTTGGGTGGGGGCTGTGGCAGTGGTGGCTTCTTTACTTGATGTATCTAACTCACTGGTCAGCGCCTGTGTGACGACCACTGACTCCAGAGGTCTTGGTGGTTGTCGTCTCTCCTCTTGCCTTGTGGGTCTAGGCTTACTTTCACATATACGTATTGAGCCACCCATGCGATCCTTCGCATTATACCATGCCTGTAGAACGTCTGTGAGGGAGGCATATGAGTCGAACTGGACGGCGAGTAGTCTGGGATTGGGTATGGTCTTCAGGTGCGCTGGCCTTGGCAGTCTACTGACGCTGACCAAACAATAATAATAATAATATATTTCATGCAACAAAGGTTACATGAATACAAACCAGTTTACAGGTTTGATCACTTTGGTAATGGGAGATAACTATTATGTACAATGTTATGCTATACATTAGATGCTGTGATTTATGGCATATAGGAGGCATGTTGAAGCAGGCTCAGTTCGAATTTGAAGATTATCCGGTCATCGTTTGAATCATCCAATATTCTTGAAGGTGAGGCCGCGTCACAGTCATGACCTTGGGGTGTGCGCGTTCGTCATCAGGTTTCGGTGCCAATATTTCCCGCTGACGAATGCGATTTGTAGGATTCCATTTGAATGCAGGACTGGTTAAGTAAATCTGAAAAGTGAATAACAAAAGCGAGCAGCAGGCGAAATTTGTAACAGGAGCACAAAAATACACAGGAGTAGATCGACCATGATACATCTGGGTGAGTTTGTACTGACTATTAAACTTACTTGAGGAAGTGTCCAGAACCAACTGTTTAGAGGTAATCTTAGGTGGAAGAAGATGAAGGTGCGCACGACAGTAATGAAAGTCAGTCTGAAGCTGAAGATATCACTACGAAATAGAAAGATTTGAGGATATTTGACCAGGTATTAACTTGTTATATACCTATGTACAAGCGTATGATGAAGTTATAAACATTTAGGTGAAATGCGTGGTTTTTTTTTGTTCTTCGGACCACTACCCTTTATCTGGTCACAGAGAGGGAGGATGATCATGGTGTTGCCTGTTGAGTATTATCATATCGGGTCTACCGAAACTATGTTGGTGCAGAGTACTTAGATGTAAGTACTGATGACAAAGGGTAAATAATAAAGAGTTGCATGCTATGAAAATGCACCGACAGACAGTTCTTTTATCTTTTCGGAGTGGAGAGTTTACTTTAAGGGGCGATTTTTAGGAAATAGGTGTTAAGTCGTGAGATCGGTTAGGTTGTGAAGAAAAGTAGGTTACATTTGAGTATCTAATAAGTTCACTGTAGCATATAGTGTCGCACTCCGCTTCCTGTTCACTCT